ACTGCATTTGTCTTTTGCCGAAGCTCAGACTCTGGCACAGGATCGGGAACGTTGGAAGCTCTGTCTGATGAGTCTGCCTCCGCGGCCTGAAAGGACAAGCGGCGATGGAAGATGAAGATGACGATGTATGAAAGTTTGTTCGACCAGCTGTGCTACCAAAGTAGAGAGAAGAAAGAGAAACCAAAGGAAAATTTGCGCGATATGAAACTGCAAGGAGTGAGGAAAGATTTGGGCACTGGCCGAAGAACGCTGAAAAAATTGACTTGAACAACGGATCCGTGTCAGGGGGAGCACGTAGGAGAGAAGAACAGGTTGATTTTGGCAGTGCGAACGCTTGCGCGCCCCACGTTAAACGCATTAGAGCACTTTTATTTACAGGGCAGTTTGAAAAAGCTGCTTCTGATGGTGGCTCGCTGGCAGCCCTGCTAACTTATGAACACTAAATGTCAAAGTTTGTACACGGACTGGAAAGCTGGCCGAACGTGTCTATTTAGAAAAGCAGTAGAAATTCGGTTATCGTTACGAAGTTCAGTCGTTGGACGCCAAAAATACAGTAGGATGAAATTGAACGACGCTGGAAAACTGATAACGGTGTCTCTGAAGCTGTAAATTCCAAGGTACTGTGCTGTACGATGTCAAAATAGGCACCGAGTAATATAAAAAGTCTAGTCGAAAGTTAGTGTTGTCGACTACCGGCCACGACCGCCCACCTAGAGCCGCAGGAGGTGAAACATTTCTCGTCCTATGACCGTTTCTAAGCCACAGCTCAGAATACAGGTTTCTAGGATTACGGTCGTATTACGATACCTTTGCCTCAGTGCGGCCAGATTTGAGGCGATTCAGGAGGTCGAACCTAAATCTTGTTCGCAATGTCTGCCTGTCATCCGGCTTATCACCAAGGGCCGTTTTATCAGCCGCTACCGATGTTGTGTTGGCCATCAAATCGCCGTCCGTGTTGTGTCTTGTGCATTCTGTCTACCGCCGTCGTCTCGTCGCACCGCATCCATCACAGCCATGGATCTGGCTGGTAGTGCCTCTGCATCACCCTCGTCGTCGCGTGGGCCCACAGCCCGCCGGAAGGCGACGATGTATCGCAAGTTCACCGTTGAACAGCTGGGCCCCTACTATAACTCGATTCCGGACGTGATGAATGCCGTGGGCTCGTTTGGCAAGTACCAGATCTTTTGCTGTTTCGTCCTCTCCTACTCCTCTGTGCTGTGGACAGCCGACTACGCCTTCGTCACCTTCGGCTTCATGGACAATGACTGG